GCTCGAGCAGGGCCTGCTGTGATTTTGCCTTTGTGGGTGTGTCTTCAACGCTTCCCAGCCTTAGGTGCCACCTTTCTGTGTAGCTGATTCTCCTCAGCAATTAGGCCAGAGTACTTAAGGCCAGGGAGGGGAGCGCTCCGGTGCCAAGGACACAGGAAGGGAATAGCACTTATGTGGGTTCCAGCACATGTGTGGATTCCGGGCAACGAGAGGTCGAACAAACTGGTAAAAGTCACGATCAAAAAAGCTCACACAGAATTAAATATTAAAATATCCATAAGGACAAAGATGGAGAGTGTCAACTTAACTGGGACAGCAGTACAACAGCAAGGAATTTATATTCAGTGCAAAATAAAATTTTTGTAATATCAAGAAACATAGTGATCAATAGAAGAGTCAAACTCGTAATTAGCAGACTCTGGATTGGACATAGAGACTACTTTATTCATGATAAGAAAACATCAATAAAGCATGATTTTCATTATGAAGCAAATTCATTAAAGAAAAGAAAGAAATGTTATGGAAAGAGAGATTAGGTCAAAAACACAATAATGTAGAAAGTCTACTGAAGTGGACGGCAGAGTTATTATAGTTTTGTATTTTGTAGTTTTGTATATTGAAGAAAAACAGTAAAGATCTGTCTTATAGACATCCAAAGCCTCAATCACAAGATCCATCAATCCCTAATCAGTTTGTAATAACAAAAATCAGAAATCCCAGAATCTTTCCTCTATAATTTTAGTTTTTTTTATTTGTATTTTCAAGTTCACAAAACTGTTTCAGTTAATTTTTTTTCAATAGTTTAGTAGTTTAGTTTAACCATAATAACTTTGGCAGGGCGGCAGTGGTTCAGGAAGAGCTGTAATACTGAGCAACCTCAAAATAGCAAAGAAGTGGAAAATCCATCATTTTTGGTGACAACCACCAAAGAGGAGGAGGCAGTAATGCACCAAAAGAAGACAAAGAAGGTCGTGGCGAGGAAGGTGGCAATAAAGAAAAGGCTGGGGAAGAAGAAGGCGGCGAAGAATAAGGGAACCCCACAGGAGGCAGCTCATAGGTCACTCAGTGGTATCCTTGTTTTCTGTTCGCTTCAATCAATCGAAAAGCTTTCATTTTACTGACCTTTCATGGTTTTTGGAGAACAAGAGCCAATTTACTTTAAAGGAATTGCACTACGCACACCCGTCCACACTTATTAGGGGCCCGGGTCAAAGGGGGAGCAGCCTGAGCACAGAAGCCCAGCTAATCTTTCAAGCGTGCCCTCGGTCTAACCCGGGCCTTCTCCAGGTAGGACATGCCCAAACCACCTCAACTGAGTCCTTTTGATGTTTAGGAGTAGCGGTTCTATTCTCAGCCTCTCTCTGCTTGCATGTCTAAACTCCTTACCCCATCTCTAAAAGATAGGCCAACCAACCTAAGAAAGCCTATTTCCGCAACTTGTATCCACCATCTCATTCTTTCGGTCACTACCTAGCCTTTTCCTCAGCCGGAAAAAGGATGAAGTGCCCGGGTCGTGGACGAGTTGCTTCCCCGACTGGAGGATTTTAAGTACCTCGGTTTCTTGTAAATAGAAAAAAGAAAATTTGCAGTGGCCACCACCTAATTTCTAATCAGTTATCTTCAATAAGGACGAGCATTTTTCAGTGTATAAGAGGGTAGGTTGTTCCTCTAGCATCTTGGAAAGTTTGTCACAACTTATCTGAAGTTTTAGTTTGTCTCAGCATTTTCTGCGTCTTCATGTAATCCATTTGGAGCCAAACTATCTGCTGCAGCTCTTACTGCTGCCAAAAGATCGATTTTTATGACTCGGGATCTGCACTTACAAAAGGAATTTGGGACAGGAAGTCCTGCCACTAGTCTAGCTAGTGAGAGGTCATGCGTCCATCTCAAAGATGGTCACCACCTCAGTGTTCACACTTACACATTCAGTTGGTTTCCCATAGTGGCTGGTTGACATGTGAAATCAGACGCAAACAAGTATATACCGCCTTCTTAATTCCCAGAATCAACATTAATTCAGATCTTACTGCAACAATGCTGACTTTGGATACTTGTTCAGACTTCTATGGTTCTTGCTGGCAAGTGGAAAACATCATAGCTGTGATAAATCATGTATAGCAGCATGAATGCTCAGGCAATCACAGGCACAATACCAAGCTTTTGCAGCAGAGCTCATGATCTAAAAACTCCTCCCAGCACCCACGGTCATCTTCCATTACTGTACTTAAGGATGTCTGCAGGTATAAACAAGTTCAATTTAACACTTTAGGGCATTTAAGAGCAAACTTGAGAAGAAAATACAGAAGTGGAAAAAGAAAGTGGAAAATATACTCTGTACAAGTACACGCATGGATGTGAGATAAAAGTAAAAAGGGTAAATTACAATATTTGTAAGAACGTAATATGAAATGTTTATTGATTGTTTATTAAAGTGAAACGAAAAACTGTAAAAGCACTAAATGAGCCCGTTGTTCCATTGAATTGAAGGCTCAAATCAAG